ATTTTTTGAGGAGGCTTTGCTCCGGCTTCCCCCTTCTTTCTCTCTTTCGAGTGCTCTCTGATCTGGAAAGAGGTCAAGAGAGAGCCAAGTAAGTGCGTCGCTGTGGCTGCGGCTGGCTGGATCGTTCATTCTACCCACACTTGTGATTGCAAGTGACAAAGGAAGAGGTGGAGAGATAGAGATAGAGAAGAGACAAAAGATGGGCTGAAAGCACAACAAATTACAAGAAAATACGCATTAACATAAATGGAATTGTAATTCACGACGACAAAACAAGAGAGGGAGACAGAGACAATTAAAGATGCGACAGGAAACCATCAGTGCGGGGTAGAGGCAGAGTGAGAGAGCGAGCAAAGGAAGACAAACGATTAAAAGGTAGCAACAGCAGCTAAGACCAAAAAGAGCTCTTCAATCATTTGTGTTCGTCTTCCTCTTTCGGTCATTAGTCAAAATTTAAGCATCGAAATTAATTATACAATACACAAAGTAAAAACCAACAATGGGAAACGTTTAATTGGATGGAAAGCATACACATAGGCGCTCGGAAGTCCCAGTCAGAAGCTCTATTTAAAGTTTCCCCAACAACCACAACAACTTACAATCCACTTTCAGAATTGAACAAAAGTAGAGTTTTTTTCTGCATTTATTTTTGGAACATTTTTGTTACAAAGAAAAAAGCGAAATCTTGAAGCATAGCAAATTCTATGGCGCTCTCTTGCTCTTCTACTCTACTCTGGTTTTGCCTTTTGACTTTCTGTCATCTTCGCAATTGGCAAGCCAAGAAGCTCATGAAACCCAAGTCTAATTGGAACATTATGTCAATGAGTGGAAATGGGAGCAGAAAAAGAGGGAGAAAAACTAACGGCAGAGATTGAGTCGCAGATTAGACTGCAACGAAAGTGAATGGAGTTAGGAGAGGGAAGAGCACAGAGGGAGATTAAAGTGAAATGAAAGTGAGTGGAGAGGGTGCGGTAGGGAAGGACTGGGGGTCGTTGCAGACAATTGCATAATTGTTGAGGCCCGCAGGCCACAAAAGTTCTCACACAAAAAAAGACAATGAAGAGGGTACTCTCAGCAAGAGAGAAGAGTACGAAGAGTACGGATACCCACTCTACTCAAAGAGGGAGGAAGAGCAGTGCAAAGGAAATGACGATAAGGAGATGCAAAGACAGCGATAAGTCAAAACATGATTCTCTGCTTCCCATCTGTCACTCTGCCTCTGCTGCTGTTGCTGTTGCTTCTTGACCACTTTTATTTTCATGCCTCACTTGATGCACCCTCTCTCTCTTTCCACTCCCATTTCCACCCATACCCGTTACCCCTTTCGAGTGCTCAAAGCCCATCCAAGCCCCGACAGCAGCAACAGAGTGAAAAATTGATTGTCATGCAAAAGTGAACTTTAGTTTTGAAGTTGTCTCTTCAAACTGAGTGAGTGGGGTGAAGAGGCTCTCTCTTTCTCTGTGTCTCTGCACTGCTTGCTTGCCTGCGCTCAGTGAAGAGTGAAGAGAAAATATATGCAAATAAATAAATACATATAAAGTTATTGTCATTCTTCCACTTATTCTTTTTCTCCTTCTTGACATAAGACGGTCCACTGCAAGGTAGATTAAAGGGAAGATGAGGCAGTGCGAGAGAGACATATGCGAGCCAATGCATTAATAACTGTTAGCAGTGCCGCACTGCTTAACCTTGTATGTACCGAAATATGCATAGCTTGAGAGACACAAGCCCACACAATAGCGCACTCTCTCTTTTACTCCCTCTCTCTTTTTAAAGTTTGTTGCTGTAGTCATTTGTCACTTGAAAGGATGCAAAAATTAATACCACTAACAGGGCAATACACAAGCAATAGTAGTGCCGGCCTGCTTTAGCATTTATCGCTGCCCATTTCTGTGGCAAAATGTGTGCCATGGCAGGAGACAGACCGAGGAGCAGGGGCCAGCGACCCGCGACCCCCCCTTCTCGTTAAGTGGAAAACCAAGTCAAATGGCGGACGGCTTTTATGTTTGATGCTTCGCTGCCTCTCATTGTGTCGCTCTCTGCATCTCTCTGTCCGCTTGTCGCCAACGATGACTACGACGACTCGTGCTCAACGAAATTGGCCAGAAAAAGCTGGCCAAAAAAACTGGCACGTTCCTATGCGTCCCCCTCTCTGTCTCTCCCTGTCGAGTTTAACCGATGCCCATGACAACGTGACAACAGCAACAGCAAAAGCAACAAAGAGGTCATTTACTTTCCTTGTGAGCATGAAATAAGCAGCGAGACCCCCCTGCCTGTCCTACGCCAGCCACTCCACACTCATCCTCCGAAAGTGTGGCTGGAAAGCCAAACAAAGCCCAAAGCAAAAGTCAAACTCCACAAATTTCGTGCAAAATAAAACTCAAATGAAACAACAATGAAAAGTGCTATGAGTGGTAGAGTATTCTGACTAAACGGATACCCTTCAATTAACAGAAACTCTAATTGTTCACTAACCAATCCTCTAATCGCTAAAGAAGTTCCTTAATAAGGTCTTAGAAGAGCCTTTCCAGCATCCCTCTCTCAGCTACAGGCTCTATTCCTTCCAGTGTTATTACACTAAAGAAGCCCCCAGTTTTTACAGGGTATAAACCACATCATCAGCAACAAGAACAACAGAGCAATGAAACAGGAAGGAACACACAAATAAAACTCAGAGATAAATGAAATTGGCAACAGAAGCGACAGGCCACAGCGACAGCTACAAACGGAACAAGTTGACTTCTCTCTTTCGGCTTCTGTGCTTCTGATTCTTCTTTTTCCACTTTTCGTTTTCTATTTTTTATTTCCGTTTTTCCTTTTTTTTAATTTTTCGGTATCAAAAATCGATTAACAAAGCGCCGGCAGCGATGCGACGGCACAGAGCCGCAAAACTTTAACGGGACATTTCAAAAAGCCATTTCTACCAAATGCATTCGCGTGCCACAGCGTGTGTGTGTCTGTTTGGTTGAGTGTGTGCATAGAAGACAGAGATACTAAGAGATACGATAATTGGTATAAAATGCCCGTTTATTGCTGTCACGAGTATCGATTTCTATATCAGGATGTGTCACGTGCAGATAGCAGTAGAAACAGGAACCAAAGCAAATCCTAATGGAAAGAGTACCGCCGCTCGCGCCCCAGTCCTCCCCCATTTTGTAGCCTCTAGCTCTATGGGTAGGGTGATTCAATAATAGTAAGAAGAGGAAATATATTTTTTCGGCCTAGTAAGTAGCGTGATTCACTCAAAAAATTATAATCATTCGAAATTACGGCCTTAGATGATGTATTATTGAATAACAACTGGCCTTAGATGAGGTAATGATTTCTGACTAATAAATACCCCACGATACAAAATGTCCCCCAGCAAGTAAGTCCCATGAGAATTAAGCTTTGATTGTACTTCCAGCTAAAACAAACATTTTGTTACGTACTATTATGAAATTCATGATTATTTCATCAGAGTGCACATGACACACCCTAACAAGACACGCAACGACTGGCGAACTAAGAAGAAGAAAACTAATGCAATTTCATGTAAAGGTAAACACGTCTAGCTATCCCCTCCCACTATCTCTTACGCCTACTTCCAGTGTTTCCCCTACTATCTGTTCCATCGGCTGTCTGCCTGTCTGCTGTTTTGTATATTTACAGGTTTCAACATTTCCATTAGCTAAAACACACACACGTAAGTACGCACCATTCAGAGACAGAATAGCATAAATATTTTATAACCGACTTCTATTCTTCTTCTCTATTACTCCATTGTGTATAATTAGAAGCTGTTGTGGGAGGGGGGAAGAGTAGGAAGAATTCGCTGAAGAGATCTGTAGGTAGAAGAGAGCAGCTGAAGAGAGAGAGAGAACAGAAACCGGAGCAGCAGCTGTAAAGATCGAGTATCTAGCCAGAGAGTAACGCCAAAATCAAGGTATGCAAGTAAAAGGTAAGGCAGTCAAGCATGTAAAACGGGACTACCCCTACCTTATAAAACATGTAACTTTTCTACAATTAGGAAGTTAGAGCGGGAGGGGACTAGTTTCGAGATTGACACGTTCCATCGCCTGATTGCAACAAGAACTAGGCGGTGGCGGCGGAATGCCAATTGGAATCTGATGATGGATTCGAAAAAAGGGGGAGACGGAGCTGTGGTTATGCTTTGTAAATGTTTGTGTCTGGTTGCGGCGTCTCGTATTCCCGTTATCAGCGACAGAGTCGAAAATTAAACAAAACATGAGACAGCGACAGGCCGACAAGCCAAGGGCGAGAAATGAAGAAGGGTTGGGGGTATGAGGTGATGTTGGCGCTTCAAGAGAAATACAAACAACAGTTCAATAAAAATAAACTGGAATTAAGCATAAACCAATAAGCAGTACGACGGGAAAGAAAGCCCGCCATGTGTGAGTGTGAGTGAGAACGCAGTAGAAGAAAAACAAAACTGGTCTCAAGTCTCGCTCAAATATGCGCTCAAGGTCGGTCAACGGATTTGCTTTTGTTTGCTCTTTTTCGACCAAGCAGCAGCAACAGAAAGATCACAAAATAAGGCGCCAGAGACAGGGAGAGCTGGAGCGAGAGCATAATTCTGCTAGCGGAAGCAGCAAATTTCAATTTCCTGAGTTGGCGAATAAATTTGTTGCTTCACCCACACACAGCAGCACTCGCACACACGCACGTACGAGTGCTGTGCCGTTATTTCCAAGAAACGAAAGGCAAACCAACAGCTTTTTTATACGAATTCATAGGATAATAAACCGAGAACAGAGCAAAAGGCACGCATGATCAATGGGGGGTAGAGAGCGACAGAGAGAGCGAGCGCAGAGAGATCAGATCCAGCTTGCCATGTGCTAGATAGCCGTCTCGCTCTAACGCCCGCCGCACCTTAACAAGTGCGAAGAAGCAGCGGCATAAAACAAAAGGAGCAACAGCCGTGGAATAGTGGGAAAACGGAATGGAAACATATGCACTTTTTTCCTTTGAAAAACTGAAAATAACTTCACAAATCATACCTTGTCCAGACACTTGAGCTCCTCGATGGGGTACACCACCTTCTGGCAACGAGCACAGGTTTTATTCATCTTCGATCCTCGCTCTGCTTCTGCTTATACTGCCTCTGCACTATTTTTTCGGAAGATCCAGCAACCGATTGGCGGGGCACTGTGTGTATGTATAAGCACTTTTATTTACACCGAACTATGGGGCCACAGGACCGCTGTAAAACTCTCCAAATTTTGCACTGCTCTCTTTCACGTTTCTTCCGCTCAACTTCCCCTCAATATTGCATTGTAGGGGGCTGCTGGTACCGGGCGACGACGACGACGACGATTACAGGGGATAAAACAAGGAATGAAACAATTTTTTCGTGTTGTGGCTAAATGCTAGAATCTGATTGATTAATCGAAACGTAAATTTTCGAAGCTCTGACACTAGTCACAAATCACAGAATCTTTTCGGTTTCCCACAACTGGTTTCCTTTGTAAGCTACACTTTTTTCGCACCTAAATCACTCGGCTTTTTCGTACTTTTTGCTTTTTTATTTCGACGGCTGTTGAGACTGCGCTGCAGGTAAGCGACGCGCGCACTTGTGTGTTCTGTTTCGTGGGTTTGTTCGCCGAAAAAACTTTAGATGACGCGCGGATGACGGTTGAAAGCGGACTGGGAAAACAGAGAACGAAATTGGGAAGCAAAACAAAAACCAGTTCCCATTGTGAACTGTGTCTATTGTGAATGGGACATTTGTTCCTGTTGGGAAATGGTAGAGGAAATTTCACTTCTGCGTTGCAAGTATGAGTCTGCAACATCATACATCGTACACATGAATATCGGTATATTAGTGCGATAAGCGGGACTTATCGGCTTTAAAATTTGAAAATAAAATTAGTTAGCAGTAGCGTATGAGCGTTTTTTATACCCTATTTATATTAATTAATGAGAAAATGTGAGAGGCTACAAACCCCATTTAGAACGTTTTCTAAGATTGACATATTTTTCCTATGAATGGTACACTTTTATCGATAACACAAAAGCACCCTAAGCCACCCTTCTGTGGTATCCTTTCAATCGAATTTTTTTGTGTGTGTCCATTTCGTCCTGCTTTCAGGGCGTAGGACCGACTTAATTTCGTGTAAAACTAATTTATTTTAAGCCAAATGATTAGTTAATAGTGCCCGGGAGAGTGGAAATATCCCAAATAGTCGGCTCTTCACCTGCACACATCCGAGAGTGTTTCCAGGCGTGTGTCTTTGTTTCGTCGAGTTTTGTGCCTAGACAGGGAAATTTTCCCATTATTGGAACTTCTCTCACATTACAAAATCCTGTCTAGCATTATGTGTGCATTACAGGACTTTAGTGACGCCTTAAAGTAGGCAAAGTGGAAATAAAAGACACTCACACAATTGAAAAATCAATAGTCTCATTGTGTGTTTGTGTGGGTGCCTAGGTGGAGGGAGGGGAGGTTTGTACGTGTTCGTGTGTGTGTACTACGATTAAATGCCGGCGCGTAGTATCGACCGAGTGGCACAATAACAACAAAACGTGAGGGAGAGCGAGTATCGAACAAAGGATACGATTAAAACAAGTGTAAACAAAGAGTGACCGAGAGAGAGAGCGAGCTTTACAGTTACGTTTGCTAGAAACGTAACGAAAGGAGGAAGACAATTAAAATTCCGCACCCATCCCCTTTTTGGAAGGAACAGGCACAATCTTCAGCATTAAACGTCTTCCGAATGCCAATCTGCTTTTTGTGAGCACCATGCAGACGCTGCGCAAGAAAACGAGTCCTTGTAAATGTAAGTTTGAAAAATTAAATGTGCATGATCATGTATGATGGGTTGGCTTGATCGTGCCTAGTCCCCCTGGCAGCTGCTGCGCCGGCGTCGCTGATCGATCTTTGGCAGGTGCAGGGTGTGTTCTACTTAGGGTGCGGCAATGCCAGACTGCGCTCTTAAAATACCTACTTTCTCGAGTGCCGAACAAAAATAGGCATCTGAGGAGTGCGAGACTCCTCACCTTTTATACTCTACACCCTGGGCAGGTGGTGGCCGATGCTCAGAGCAAAAAACAAAGAGCGCGCTCGAGTGACATTGAGAGACTGCGTACTTTTCTTCTTTTATCATTTTGAATGAGAATCACAAAATAATAGAGTGAAATTAGTGTTTGTTTATTTGTTAAACAAATTGCGGCAAAAGTCCACAAGCAGCGACAGCGGCAGCGAGAGAGAGCGAGCAAAATCAACCGCAGCCGCAGCATCGTACGAATGAACGGTGAAACGCTCTCATTCATTCCATGATCACGGATCGTTTTCGGTAGCGGCGGGTGCTGTGCTCCTCTTTTGTCTCTGTGTGGGTGTCGTCATTATTTGTTGTCTCTTGTAGTTTTTTTTTATATTGTTTTTTTTTGAATTTAATTAATTGTGTGGCAACAACAAGCACAAAATCGCGAAAAATCATTGTGTGCACCACCCAGCCGTCCGTCTCGTTCTTCCCGCTCTCGATTGTGTGTGTGTGTGTGAGCCATGGAAATGTCACACACATTCACATGCACATGCAGATTCTGGCTGAGAATGTGAGACTGTGTTAGTGTACAATCGACGATTCCTTGAGGATTCGATACAAAAAGATGGTTAAATCTCTGGTTTCCAAGCTGTCGACAGCTTCCTCGAATCTCTCTCTGGCCAGCACATTTGGCGTCGGCAGCAGCCACAGCAGCAGCGCGGCAGAGGAAACAAATTACGCAAAACGTTAGCAGAAAAAAAGCAAACAAAAATCACAATCGCATACACAAACACACACACACCGACACGTGACTTATGCATGTATATGTTTTGTGCGCATTCTCTATTTTCCAGATCGCAATGATCCGGGACGATTTTTCGGCGATGGCGTGCAGTTCAAGGCCAAACTCATTGGCATACTGGAAGTGGGCGAGGCACGGGGCGATCGCATGTGCCAGGAGGCACTGCAGGACCTCAAGATGGCCATCCGTGCCGCGGGCGAGCACAAGCAGCGCATCACCATTCATGTGACAATCGATGGCCTGCGGCTGCGGGATGAGAAGACGGGCGACTCGCTCTACCACCATCCGGTGCACAAGATCTCCTTCATTGCCCAGGACATGACGGACTCGCGTGCGTTTGGCTACATCTTTGGCTCGCCGGACAGCGGGCATCGGTTCTTTGGCATCAAGACGGACAAGGCGGCCAGCCAGGTGGTGCTGGCCATGCGTGACCTCTTCCAGGTTGTCTTCGAGCTGAAGAAGAAGGAGATCGAGATGGCCCGCCAGCAGATCCAGGGCAAGTCTCTGCATGAGCACGCCAGCCAGCTGGCCTCCTTGTCCGCACTGAGAGCTGGAGCAGGTCATGCAGATCTCGCCAGTGGCAGCCACCCGCTCACCCTGAGCTCACTCTGCGGGCAGGATGCCTACTCGAATGGAACCACGCGATTGGGCGTCAATCTGGATGTGGCCAAGACCTCGGGAGCAGCAGCCAAAGAAGTAAAAATTCGATTATTCCATGATCTCTGCTAATCTTTCTCTTTCTTGCAGATCTCTCCTGAATCTGTGGCTGATCTGGTAGATCTGGAGCAAGAGTTGACCTCGCTGCAGCGCGGCATTACTCAAATGGAGAGGATTACGCCCAGCGAGCCGGGCATGCATCATCCCTCCAGTGGTGGCGGCGGCGGCAGCGGGCATCCCGGCAGCCTGGCCAAATCTGCCAGCGAGGACGATCCCTTCGGGGACTCCTTCATCTGTGTGCCATCGTACAGCATCTTGCCGCCACCACCCGAATCGGGACGCAATCGACACAAACCCCAGAAGACGCCAGAGTCGACTGCCGCTTTGGATGCCATTCTCTCGCCTCCTCCCGGTGCGAGCTCCTCGCCAGCTCCGGGCGTTGCCTGCCAGGCCTCTGGCGTGGACAATGACGATGACAGCTGGCTGCACGAGTTGGATCAGCAGAGCGATGTCTTTGACACCACCAATGTGGTGGCCGCTGTCCTATCGATGGCTCCACTGGCGGCCAGCGAATCAACGGCCACGCCCACACAACAGTTGACGGAAATGTCGTCGGCCGCCACAGCAGCAGCCACAGCAAGCACATCGCTGGCGGATCTCGATATGGGCGGCGGACTGACGGGCACAGCAGCAACAGAGGAGCCAGCAATCATGTCGCTGGGTGAGTGAGGAGTGCCTTGGCTCCGCTTTGTTGTAGGATTTTGTATGTCATCCACATCCCCATTCAAAGTGAAGAACGAGCTGTCTGTGAGGCACGATGTGGGAGTGGCATGCCACAAAAGGGAACAATCAGAAAGAATGCCAAGGGTCAAATCAATTGAACTGAAACTTAATCTATGGTTTGTAGTTGCTCTGGCAGCTATTTGCTTGCTGATCAGGCGGATTTCTTGCTGCTATCGAAGCAATTTATAGAAGAAATTATTGAAATCTCTTGGTTTAGTTGCTTCCCAGACTTTAATCTGTGTGTTTAAACTCTTCTTAGATTTGTTTTCTGTTAGTTTATGTTCTTTTATCCCTTTCTCCCTGTCAAATTTCAATCAAAAATGTTCCTAGGTTCTGGCTAAAAATCGAACTCCCTCATCATCGCACAGGCAGCTCTTTCTGTGGCTTTTAATCCTTGTTTCCCAACCACAAAACTAACCTTAAAACAAACTGCAGAATGAGCAGCAATCATGCGAATCCTCACTTTCGAATGAGCTCGCAGTTTTCATAGATATTTTTGAGTTCTCTTTTGCTTTGTTTTTGTTAGCAAATTTACATACGTTTCCCCTGGCACCTCGTAGCTCCTCCATTCCACTCAAAGTTTATGATTTCGTCTGCCACACTCCCGTCTGGGGTGCTGCACTCTCACTCGTGTTTCGTGTATGTCATACTTTCTCTCGTGTTATTTCCATTATGCTGCTGCTGCAGATGCATTCACGGATCTGGATCCGCTGGGCACCGGTCGCACCCGGCCGTATGTCGATAAGAAATACTTTTTCCAAGAGCTTAAGAATCCACCCAAGAAGCTGCTCAAGGAGCTCAGTGGTGCGGGTGCCAGCGGCTTGGGCCTGGACACCGGCAGTCTCTTCCCCACAGAAGAGGAGGCAGCATGTACGGGTGCGACCACGACCATCATCGCTAGCACCACCACAGCAGCAGCTACTAACATCACAGCAGGTACTAACCAACACGAGCATCAGCGACCAGTAGCAATCATCACAGATTCACCCACAATGCACCTGTCACAGAATAACTCTAATCAATGCACTTGCACCGCCGCAGGGAATTCTGATCCGCTACTAACCAACGCTACTGCGGCAGCCACTTCTGGTCTTCTGGGTCATCATCATCACCACCACCAACAACTGCTACTAACCAGCTCCAGCGCCGCTCCCACACCCACTCCCAATACCAATCCCGCCCCAGCTCCAGCTCCAGCTCCAGCTCCAGCTCCCACTTCCGCACTCTCTTTTCCCATATTGTCCGCCAGCGCTGAAGACTTTTCGTCCGCAAAGCTAAAACTTTTGCTTAGAAGATCGCCCCTGACTAATCCCACACCACCACCCACTTATCCACCCACCTGTGGGTCCAACTATTATACCACAGAACCGCTGCCAACAACAACAACAACGACGACGACGACGACAACGCTGGAGGATCCGGCGAATCCTGTGCTGCTGCCACGCGACACGGATCCGTTCTCGCCGACGCGCAAGAAGAGCGATCCGGATCCGTTCCAGGAGGGCGATCTCTTTGCCAAGCTTGATGCCTTCGAGTTTGATGCACCTGCTGCCGCCACACTTCCAGCTGCAAGCGAAACCCGAACGAGCGCCTTTAATGGTCCGCTGCAGGTGCAGCTGCCGCCGGAGAAGGCAGCGGAGCAGCTGAGCACCGTGCGGAATCGTCCCACTGTGTCTGTCTCCTCGCTGCCCAATCCGCTGGGTGGCGGTGGACCCCTCGATGTCATCTCCAGCATTAGCAACAAGAAGATGCCGCACCTGTTTGGCCAGGCGCGAGGTTTCTCCAAGCGTGGGGACTCCTCCTCCTCGGAGATCGGGTCCAGCGTGAATATGCGACGCCTGCAGGAGAGCGACTCCTTGAGCGAAACGGAGGCTGCCCCAGAGCCACCACCACGACCGGATTCAGCGCCCTGCGCTGGGCCACCGCCGCTGCCGCCCAAGAAGCAGTTCAGCGACCTGGTGATACGCCCGAGTCCTGCGCCACCGACTGCCGGTCGGTATGAGTATCTGAACAGCAGTTCCTCCTCCACGCGGCGCACGCTCTCCCACTCGCTGGCGGATGCACCGCCCATACCATTGCCCTCGCGTCGTGTGGGACGCACTGAGGCGTGCTTTCCGGGTCCCGGTCGTCCCAGGAAGCCACATCAGCCGGAGGATGATTATATGATGCCGCTGGGACCGCCACCGCCACTGCTGCCGCCACCGAATCAGCCGGCATCAACAGCAACATCCTCCACGGCCCGTGCGCGTCCACAACGGCAGCAATCGCTGGGCAGGCCACAGGACATTTACGAGAACAAAGCGGAGATCCTGGCGCAAGCGGCAGCAACCCAGGAGGTGCCTGCTGCGCCCGCTCTGCCACCCGACATAACGCTGACGCAGCTGCTCACTCTGGGCATGGATGATCTGGCGGTCAAGCTGAATGTGCCCGCCTCAAAGCTGAGCACAATGACCCTGGTGCAGCTGACGTCCTATCTATCGGAGTACTTGTCCTCCAGCGAGAAGAGCAGCCAATGCCTCGCTCCGCCCGCACCTGCAGCGCCAGCCACAGTCGCTGCCCCTGTCGTCTCCTCCTCCTCTGCGGCTGTCTTCAAGGTCAACTTTGATCAGCAAACGTCCTTTGTGGCCTCCTTTGACGACACTTTTGGCGAGGATGAAGCTACGTTGGGTGTGCCCTCGCCGCCCGAGGAGGCGCCCATTTTTGTGGCCAACTTTGCCAACTTCAATGACGCTCCAATGCCAGCGGCTGCCCCGGTGGCTGTGCCCTCGGCCGATCGCTATGCGGTCTTTCGCGAGATTATCGATCAGGAGCTGCAGCAGCAGCAGCAGGAAACGGATCTCATGGGGGATCTAACGCCGCCACCCGTTGAAGAGCAAGAGGCGGCGGCACAAGAGGACTCCATCCCCACGGAGCTGCCACTGATCGATGCCATTGTCACGAGCTCTGCGCCTCCATCTGCGCCTCCTCCGCCGCTGCCAAAGATCGACACAAAAATCACCGAAGTGGTGGCCCAGGCCAAGGATCGTTATGCGGCACTCAGGGACATCATTCTGGTGGAGAATCTTTTCGACAAGCCGCAGCCTGCACAGCCGCCGCCGCCGCCGGAGAAGGATTTGCTGCAGGATTTTCCCGAATTCAGCGATGAGTTCAATGAGGATCAGGATCTGCGGCAGATTATGGACCTACCGCTGGCCGAGCAGCAGCATCCGCAGGATCGTCATGGCCTGGTGGACAGTCGCGGCTTTCCCGCCGAGCCCTCATCCTCCGCGCTGACCGTGGACGATGATGACGAGGATGAGGATGCCGATGCCGGGGGAGAGAGCAGCATGGACAGCAACGAAAAGGATGGGGAACCGGTGAGCGGACAGGATCAGTATGAGAAGCTGTCCACCTCCACGCAGCAGCTGGATGCTGTGGTGCCCGCCTCGCTGCTGGAGGAGGAATCCTCTGCCAATCCGCTGCCACACGCACCCAAGCAGGATCATAAGTTCCTGTCCGTGCTGACGGCACCCCCGGGCGGCAGTGGCAGTGGCAAAGATGACATTGAAATCGATGAGCTGATGCATCGAGCGATCTCGAATCTTTCGCTGGATTCACGGGATCGCATCTCGCCGGCCAACTCCTCGGCGGCACCCTCACGCGGCCCACAGAGTCTGGGCGTGCAGCAGTTCAATGATGTCAGCACCTCGCCCATTCCGCTGCAGAAATCCCCAGCGCCACAGCAGCAGCAGCAGCAGCCCTCACCCGTGCCGTCACACCTGTCGGCTGTCTCGCAGCTCATAGACACCGCCACCAAGCAGATGCTGAGCGAACGTGAGAGAGAGAAGCAGTCCTGGGCCACATTTGATTCGCCAAAGGCCAAGGGCAAGGCACGCCTCACGCTGCCACCGCCGCCGCCGCCTGCCTCAAACACCTCGCAGCAGGACACGGCAGAGTCGCCGTGCAGCTCCGATCCACGCGATGATGGCTGGTCCAAGCAGCAGCGTCGTTGGGCCAAGAAGGAGCGACATCAGACCTCGTCGTCGTCTAGGGATTTGAGTCCCTGGGATGATGAGACGCCGGAGTATGTGAAGCGACGACAAATGGCACATGCGCAGGTGCAGCCACAGCACACGGATCGTCATGGCTACTACATGCGGCATGCCCGAAGAATGAACTCCTGCGATGAGGATTACGAGTGAGTGGCGGAAGGAGAGTTCCCCTTTGGGTTTAGTATTTGAGTTTCCTTTTCTCTTGCCGTTGCAGCTACGATGCCGAGCTGATGGCGCGCAGGGAGCGTGAGCAGCAGCAAAGAAAATTCAAGCATGGCCTCAGCCGCAGCAGAGACAACTTTGATTTGGGTGAGTGCTGCACCACGATCCTCTCCTCAATCTTTGACTAACCCTCTCTTGCTCTATAGACTCCCCCAGCTGGTATCATCATCCCACACATCACACCTGGTCGCCGCAGGAGATCGAACAGGGCGTGCGCGCGCGTTCCTTTGAGCGCAGCGCCTACGAGCGTTCCAGCTATGGGCCGCCCATGTATGCGGATAAGCGCGGGGGACAGCCGCCGCAGCTGCGCAGCAAGTATCGTGGCGAGCGTGAGCGGGATCGCGATCGAGAGCGTGAGCGGGAGCGCGAGTACCGGGATTATGCGCGGCCCAGCTACGATTTTGATTACGAGAATGTTTACGAGCTGGAGCAGCGCGGTGGCCGCTCGCCCATGGCCTACAAAACGAGCGGCAGAGGTGCTGCAGCTGGCGACTACATGTACGAGCGGGAGCGGGAACGCGACAGAGATCGCAAGTCGTTTGATCGCGAGAGTCTGGAGTCCTTTGAGAGCGCCACGCGACGCAGGCGCAGCTTTGGCAGCGGCAACGATGTTTACGGCAGCCTCGACAGTCGCGACGAGTACCGCGGCGGTGTGGATCGCGAGCGGGGGGACAGGGGCGACCGTGAGCGGGAGCAAATGAAGACGCGTTCGCTGAGGAAACCCACTACCACCTCCGGCAAGCTGCGCATCAGCGGGGATATAGACTACGAACAGGATTCGGAGCAGGACTTTCAGCAGCGCGCATCGGTGAGGAGTTTGCAGCGTCCCAGTCAACTGGGTGGCGGCGATGCGGTGCTGTCGATCGGTGGCGCAGGCGGCGTTGGCGGTGGTTCCCAGCGTTTGCGCAAGAGCAGCGGCTCCAGTCCGTGGGATGGTGAGGGTGAGTCCGGCACTCAAACTTCCATTCTCAGGGATATTTTATAGCTTTTATTTCGCCTTTGCAGAACCCACTTTGCCGGGCCAAAAGTCTTGGAAGCGTCCTGCCAGCGTAGCCGAAACAGAGCGACGTTTGGCGGAGAGTCGTCGCGCTGTGGCCTTGGGTCAAACGCCCTCCGATGGGGAAAAGGAAAGAAGGTAACGAGGTAGACAGAAACTTACACAAAGGAACTCCTAATTTCATGCTCTTCCCCCTTAGATTCCGCAAGAAAACTCGCGCACGCAGCGCCAAAGATTTGGCCAGCGTTGGCGGCCCTGGCGCTGGTTCCTCCACCATTGTGAATCCTCCACCGCCACGCTATGTGGGCGGCAGTGGACGTGGCATGCGGGACAACTACGATTACATGAGCAGCCACCAACAGCAGCAGCGCAAAGATGTCGATGTGGACGATGACGATGTGGCCGATGATGATGATGATGATGAGGATTATGTGGATGATGAGCCGCCCACGGATGAGGATAAGTTTGAGCGTTTGAATCGCAGGCGCCACGAGATGCATCAGCGCATGCTGGAGAGCGAGCGACGTCAAATGGAGCGACATCCAACGCTGTCGAAGAATCGTTCACGAGGCGGCGGTGTCCCACCTGTGATCAACAGTGATTATGGCTTTGTGGATAGCTACGAGCAGACGCCCACACCGACCCCACGTTCGAATGCCAGCAGCACGCCCGCTGGACTGATGAGCGGCGGCGGTGGGTTGATGGGCAGCGGCGGCGAGTCCTCTGCAGGCGTTGGCGGCAAATTCAACTTTGACGATGGCTTTGAATCGGACTTTAATCAGAGTTCGCCACCGCCAGCGCCCGCTGGCACTGCCTCCAGCTGTAATTCCACGCCCGCGGGCCCCATCTCGGCGGGCAGTGTGGCCAGTGGCGGCTCCAAGTCGCTGTTTCGCTTCTCCAATGACTTTTCGGAGAAGGGCGGCGACAAGAGGGAACACTTTGACATGGAAGCGCAGCCAACATCCACGCCACCCATAACCCAGAAGCTGCGCTTCGATGATAATGTCAAGATCTCGCAGTTCGATGATGCTGCATTCGAGGATGACTTTGCCAAGGCTTCGTTTGACTTTGAAAAGGAGCAGCAGACAGTTGGTGGTGCTGCCACAGTAACTGGTGGAGGAGCTGCTGCTTTGACGAGGAAACAAAATATGCGCACCTCGAAGCTGCAGCAGCGGCAGGAACTCATTAAGAAATCGGAATCGGTGAATATATTTGCCAAGAAGCAGGAGGATCCCTTCGAGGATGATGAGTTCTTCAAGTCACCCGATCAGGATGAGCTGCAAAAGGACAATGATGGCGAGGCGGCGCACGCAAACAATAAATTCCAATGGAACGAGGATGAGAACTTTGCGAAATTCGATGAAAATATGTGATTTGATCAACTCTTTGCCCAGGCCACGGGCCCCAAGATGGGACCAGGCTTGGGCCTGGGACTGGGACTGGACGTGGAGCGGCAGCGGCAGCGGGAGCCAGAACGTGACAGCATCGATGGGCACAACTATGCAGAGATCGATGTGGTGAATGACTCGGATTTTTGCTACCTAACAAATCTCAATAATTACTACCAGGAGCAGCGCCTGGAGGCGCTACGTCGGGGCATGCCAGCGCTGCCGCAAATGAGAACGACAGCCACATCGACGAGTCCCTGGCATGAGCCAGAGCCCAAGGAGGAGCCGCCCAAGAGCAAGCCAACGCCAATGCAAATGCTGAGAAATCCCAGAAAGTGGAGGGTCACTCGTGCAGTGGATGATATTGTCAAAGTAATGATTATTGCCTCATCGGAGCATGTTCTGGACTACGATGTGCTGTGGTAGCAGGAGGATTAGGGGCACATGCTATATATCTAGTCAAAAAACTACCCAAATTGCCATACAACAAAATAATTTGTAATATCATAAGAGCCTCGCCCCTAAGCCCCTAGAGACTATGCTTTGAGGCGCTCCCTATTTCCATCCCAGAGTTTGTATATAAGAAACGAAAACGTTTGTTAAAGTTACACCCCCCCAACAAATCGCAGAATACTCAGAGCAGGAGTTCCCAACAATCATCAATTGATTTAACTAATGAAAAGCAACTAAACAAATGCCTATGCTAAATGTCGTCTAGCCGTTAAACCCCTTAAAAAAGTGCATGTAGGATATAGAAATGCGATCCTAAACAACATACTCGTACATATTCGATTTGATTATTTAGTTAACTAATTCAAGAACTAATTTTAGTTGAATTTCCACACGTATTGACACATCAGTAGGGTTCTTTTTTTATGATTTAACTAACTATCATATAAATATATGATTATCCTATATTATATTGATACGTAACTGAACGAACGAACAAAAACTGAACACGATCAAGCAAATGCGACAGCCAGCAGGTAACCCAAAGCAGCTATTATCGTACATATTCTTATACTAAATCATAATTAAATAATAATAATACATACCTTATATGTAATGCAATTATACGAATGATTCTTATTCTACTTCTTGGTTGAATATTGAATTGGTGTTGGGATTGCACGAGCGAGACCCAGGGAAAGTTTCTGAACTGCAATTTCCAGGAGTAAACACACAACAACTGGCAATAAGGATGTGGATAAGAGTTATAAGTATGCTTGAGGGAGATCATGTATTTATATTCGAGGATTCTTTCGTAATGATTGAATCCCAAGGAAAAACACAACAAACAATATACCGAAACATGCCACGTACATGCCATAAGAGTTGTTAGAATTAAAGGGGAAGATTTAGTTCCAAATAGAGAAGTTATAATAGCTGAAGGTATTTTGGTTATCAATTAAGTATCACAAGATATATCTTCCTCAGTAGATCAGATATTCTTCCCCATAGCTTTTGCTCACCCACAAACCCCAATATCTGTGCAAAATCCACAACGAAATTTCGTAACCGAACGCATTTAGCCATATCGGATTGTATGCAAATTTTGTTTGCTGCTTTGCCAGGGCAGGCATGTAATTTTGGGCCCATTTTGGTAGCCAAATGTGTGACAATTTGGAGCGGCAATTAGCCAGCTCTGTGGTCTGGCTCTGGCCAACTATAAAACCCAGTCATCGATTGTAAACCAAACATAATTCAGTTCGTGGTCTCAGCCGGAGAAGAAGCAAATCGCAGAAACAATTCCCTCAAAATGCAGCAGCAAATGGTGAGTGGATGAATGCCGAAAGCCTGTCCAGAACTTAAAGGATTTTCTGTCCTAATAGTTGGTGATTCTGTCGCTGGGTTTGATGGTGGCCTGCACCGGCGCACTGCCAGCCGTGGGTCCTGCGCTGTTTCCCGCAGCATCGGCAGCGCCCTTCGGCGTGTTTCCTGGCTCTGCCGCTGCTCCATTTGCTGCCTATACAAATGGACAGTTTGGTGTGCCTTTTGGTGCCTTTGCTGGTGCTCCCTTTGGTGCTGCTGCTCCTTTGGCTGTCTCTAGCAGTCAGCGTTTGGATTACTTCAATCAGTTCAATGCCGCCTTTGGTCCGCCAGCTGCCGGACGTCTGCTGGCCGCTGGTCCAGCAGGAGTTGCTCCATTTCCAGCTGGCCGATTGATTCAACCCGCACGTTTAATTGCTCCTGGTTCATTTTTCTTTTAAGATATTCAATAGCTTTTCCACGTAAGAAATAAAATCACAAAATGGTTAACCACAATGCCAGTCGCAATGGTGTCAAGTGCAGGTCCACAGTTGGCTTTGGTTGCTGGCTTTCTGGCACCTGGCCAACACTCTTTTGGGTGGGTTATACATGGGTTATATATTTGCTTTATAATACTTTGATTTGGTGTTGAATATTTATCACAAAATGGAATGAATACTGGGTGGGAAGTGCCTCACTTGATCACCAGACACTCTTATAGCCATAGTAGGGATTATAGCCATAGCCATAGGGATACGCAGAGGGATAAGCTGAAGGATAGCCTGAGGGATAGGTTGAAGGATAGCCTACAGGGTAGACCGCTGGATAGCCACCATTGTACTTGTAGTAGGTTGTGGCTGGTGGATGATATGTGGCCACACCCGTGGCCGTTGGCACATAGAAACGATTCCAATTGCGTGCCACAAACTGATAGCTGGTTGGAGGTGGCACTGCAGCAGGCAGCCCTACAGCAGTGGCAGGCAGAAAGCTGGCCTGGGAGAGTGCAGCGCAGCCCACGAGGAAATAGCCCAAAATGGATAGAAATTGCTGCAAGGAGTTTGGTAACAAATTAGAGCTTGATCTTTGATTGATTTTGTGCCAACTTACAATCTTCATGGTGTCTGAGTTTGCGGGGTAACTGCCTGGGCCACTCGATTGCTGGTCACTGTCCAGTGGTGTCGCCAGCAAGTGGCTTTTATATCACCCACGAACCACTGCAAGCTGCATCGCTCGTTGCAATTGAATTTCAAATGCAGTTGCCCTTCTAGGGTTGTGTTTGGCTGCCATCTTTGGGCGTACCGAACGCACGCCCAAGGGCAGATTTGTAATCCTCCGTTTATAGGTAGCCTCTGGCTAGAGGTCTGGTGACGCAAGCGGAATCTACATGAAGACAAAGGCTGGGACTGCCACTGCTGTTGCTGCTGCTGCTGCTGCTTCTGCAATTTGTGTACCCATTAAAGCAGCAAAATCCGCAGCTGAATCAACAAACGGGAAGCCACTTCTCTCCCGTATATATAGAGCAGCGATTCCTACTCCAATTTATCAATGAAGCAGCAGCAAACAGCCATGAAGCTTCCACTCCCACTTCTGCTACTCCTTTCCCTTGCTGGTTTGTCCCTGGCACAGATTGTGCCGCGGCAATCCTGGTGCCGGCAGCCTTTGTCCCCGCGTCTGCCACGTGTGGCGGTGCCTGTGCGGCTCATTGTCATCCATCATACGGCCAGTGCGCCCTGCTACACGCCACAGCAATGCCAGCAGGCACTGCAGCAGATACGCATGGGACATTTGTTGCGCAAGTTCCGCGATATTGGCTATAATTTCCTGATTGGCGGCGATGGACGCATCTACGAGGGCCTGGGCTTTGGCATACGCGGCGAGCATGCGCCGCACTACAACAGTCAGTCGATTGGTGTGGCTTTCATTGGGAATTATCAGCGTAAGACAGCGAGCTGCCTGCCTTCCTGCCTTTGAGGCACTTGCTAACTCTTTGTTCTGCTTCCTTCAGGTGCTCTACCCTCGCCGCAGATGTTGCAGGCAGCTCGCACGCTCATCACCATCGCTGTGCAGCGGCGACAGCTTCAGCGCAACTATGCACTGGTGGGCCACTGCCAGACAAAGGCCACTGCCTGTCCCGGACGCCAGCTGTTGGATGAACTGCGCAAGTGGCCGCGCTGGCAGCCAAAGCCATAGAATCGGAGTTTCAATTTGTACAACAATTTATTCTAATAAAGAAACTAATTCATAACTTAAATGCTCCTCCAGTTGGGCCATGTTTGGATCTCATTGAAGAGCGCCGTGCCCGGGCAGGCGGTGGCCTTGGTCTGGCGATGGCCCAGAAGCGTGTAAGTGTTCTTCAGGTAGCCGCCCTGCTTGGCCTGTGCAATCAGATCCTTGGCATTCTGCAGCATCTGTGACGAAGGTTTATTGCTCTCAAAGTTGCCAATGAACACAATGCCAATGCTGTTGCGATTGTAGTTGGGTGCATGGGAGCCCTGCAGGCCAAAGCCTCGACCCTCGTACACCTTGCCATCGCCAGCGACAATGAAATTGTAGCCAATGTCGCTGAAGTTGCGCCTGCCCTTGTGGTCCGTCTGTATGGCCTTGATCATGCGTTTGCACTGATCCGAATTGCTGCAGCCATTGGGATTGTCCGAGTGATGGATAATCACATAATCCACGGCGCCACTTATCCTCGCTGGCGAACGGGCAGCCACAGCGCCCCAACTGCTGCGTGGCTCAATATTCAGCGCCTGAGCGGTGTGAGCTGCAAAAAGGAAGAGAGAGAAATGATCAGCAGGTTATCACCGAGCGCAGATTGATTGATGATTACCTATGGCACAGAGTGCCAGCAGTGCTGCTAGGAACTTGATTGACGTCATTGCTGAGATCTTGCTGGCTGGATCTGATGTTCAACTGTGAGTTCCACTGGCAACGGGAAGCTGCTTAAATAGCAGAGTCGGGGATTGAAGGCAGGTCGATGAGGGAGATACACTTATGACAGGGGGTTAAATATTAGATTTATCTTAAAAGAGAGCAACTTTAAGGGGTCTACAAAAGGGAGACAACTCCTGTCTTGACTGGGTTTTATTTTGTGGATTTTTAGCAATGGAACTTTGCTTTTTCCTTACATTAACGAATCTGTACACAGATGCCCCTCTAATTTCCCTTGTCAAACCCAACTCAAAGCCTTTCCTTAGTCCCGTATACCCCTCCAGCAAGTGTAAACCAACAAACAACACGGTGAAGCACCCTCGGGGGAATCACTAGCGCCCCCAAAGAGATAAGAAATTGCTCTCTAAAGCAAGCCAACAAACAAATTGAAGAAAAAATCCCACACAGATACATAAGCACATAGCATATAATATTTATAGCCTATATACACAATAATTTCTACATCAAACTTTACTCCTCGATGGCCTTACGCTGCTTGGCGAAACGTTGCTTTTTGGTCTGCTTCGGTTTGGGCTTTCCCTTGCGCTTTGGCGCTGGAGCTAGCAATTTATTCTCCTTTTGCTTGAGCTTAACCTCCAGTTGATCCACACCTCCCGCCTTCAGCTGCAGCTTCTGCATGAGGGTCAACGGGCGACTGGGATTGGCGGCGGCTTCCGCTTGAGTTTTGTGTAGCACCGAACGCTGTGCCACTCGCCGCTTCTGCACAATCTTCAGGTTCTTTTCGGCATCCTGTCGCTTGCGTAGCTGCTCCATTGCATTCTTGTAGATGTCCGCATGGCGCACCTCAGTGTCTGCCGACACGGTGATCTCCTCGCCCAAGGCTTTGCCCGCTTCGTTCAGCATCTTCTTGAACTGCGCCTGCTCCGGTTCGGTGAGCAATGTGACGGCTGTGCCCTTTCTGCCCGCACGTGCCGTACGACCCACACGATGGATGTAGGTCTTGATGTGACGCGGCGTCTCGTAGGACAGCACCACATCCACATCGGCCACATCGATACCTCGCGCCAGAGCATCCGAACAGATCAGACCATTGATGCGTCCCCTGGCAAAGTCCGTCAGGGTTTTGGTGCGCACCAGGGCCGACAGCTTGCCGGACAGCTCGGCCACTTTGGTGGGCCCCGAGGCGAAGAGTTGACGCATGACAAAGGCCAGACGATTGGCCGTGTCCGTGCTGTTGGTGAAGCAGAGGAAACGCTTCCACTGGTACTTCTCCACCAGAGCAAACAATGTCAGCGGCTTGATGCGCAGCTCCGTCACACAGAATTGTTCTGTGAGCTCCGCCGGCGTTGTGTATTTGCCCGCAAAGTGTCCAGTGTTTGGCATCGACTCTGCATCAGCGTCTGTCTGCTCCGACACACTCCTCGCCACGGGCAGCGCAAACACCGTGGTAAAGAGCTTCGGCTGAAACAGCCGCAGATTCTGCAGCTTCTCGGGATCCTGCGACATTGTGGCAGAGAATAAAAGCTTATGCGGCACCTTGCCAAATGTGGCATAAAGTTCCTTCAGGCATAGGGGCGGCTGTGTGCCAGCCAGCAGCTGATTGGCAGTCTCCCGCACATGATTGTCCAAATGGTAGAGCCAGTTCTGGAAAAAGGCATCCATGATGCGATCTGCCTCGTCAATGACCAGAAATTTCAAGCTCTTCAAGCAGAAACCTTTCGTGGCATGCAAATGATCCACCAAACGACCTAAAAAGCAAGGGATTATAATCCGAAAAGAGTATCTAGAGTTTGGTTCCCTCACCTGGCGTTGTCACCACAATGTCTGCTTTGCTGTACACCTCCCCCTTGTACACCTCCACCAGCTTCTCCTGCTCATCCTCCAGGCGATGCTGCTTGGACAGCAGGCACACCTCCAGCTCCGTTTTGCTGCACAGCGCACGAATCACCTTGAAGACCTGCAGCGCCAGTTCGGCCACGGGCAGCACCACCAGCGCACGCACCTTGCAGCGCACTCGATTGTTCAGCAGCTGGACAATGGGTATGGCAAAGGCCAGCGTCTTGCCGCTGCCCGTGGGCGCTGACACACAAATGTCGCGTGGCCGCAGCGGCGCCGGCTTGCCCTGTGCCTCGAGGATCCATGGAATGACAGTTCGCTGCACGGGAAACAGCCGCTTGATCTTCATCTGCTTGAGCGCCTGTCGTGTGTGATCCTTTAGGTAGCTTAGATTCTCAATGGACGCCTCATCTTTGCCAGCCTCCAGGTCCTCGTTGTCGTCTGGCAGCAGGTTGCCCCCCTCGATGATTGTGGGATATGCCAGCCAGGGTGGCAGCACCTCTGTTACTTTCTTGCGCTTGGCAGAATCATCGCCGCCAAGTATTTGGAAATCTTGTGAATTGATTGCTTCCTCCTCTGTTGCGGCTGCCGCTTTTGGCTCTTCCTTTTCCACTTTTTGTTCCTCTACTTTTGTCTCCTCCACTTGGGCTTGCTCCATTGGTGCTGCTTCCTGCTTTGCAGCTTCACTTTTCTCATGTTTCCTCTTTCGCTTGGCTGCCTTTTGGAGTAGTTTTTGCAGAATTTCATCTTCATTTGATGTCTTTTGTTCCTTGTCTTGCGGACTCTTAAGATCCTCTGTATAACTGCGGGTTTGTGGGTAAATCTCAATGTTCTATGTAGTCGTCATATAACTCACCGATTTACTGTGAATAATTCCATTGTTTAAGCTGTTTTTTTTATTTCATAAAATGTCAAAAAAGCAGGCGCACGTGTTGCGGCCCACATTTGTTATTGTTCTTCTTCTTCAATGGTGTGGCCGTTTGTGCAGCGGAGAGCAAATGCCAGCACGCGTGGTGCTGCCACTCATTTGATTTAATTGTTTTTCACGCGCGTAATTCAAATTTGCACTAATATGTAAGACCGCTTGTGTACAGCTGCGAAAATACCAAGTAAAATGACGTTGCCACTCTTCAGAACTCATTACAGCAAGCGCGCACAATTTAAATTCATAGCAATTGCCGAAACGTTACAGTGCAAATTCATCGAGCTTATTTTAGAATAATTAAAAATATTCCTCTGACCGCAATAACAAATAAATTAAGAACGGAAATAGTCACAATGCACATTCATATACCAGTTTCCTGGCGGGGATTTGTATTTTCCCCTGAGGTTTTGGCCAGGTTTCGGTTTCCAGACGTTGCGTTGATGCGTTGCGTTGATGCGTGGCGTATGCAAAGTGTCCCGACAACTTCTTGGGGATTTTTTACACTTGCTGCGATGCCAAGTGATTCATACAATTGACCCACTCCAATCCACGTGAGCGAGAAATGCACAAAATTAAACCACACAGAAATAATAAATGATTATGAGCGAAACAAAAAAACCGGTTCAAAACGCTGTTCTCCGCTAGAAAACACCAAAACTTGTGGCTGTGCGCGAAAACTGACATCTGAATCATGCAAATGAAGTGAAAGATATAATGAGAACCGCAGTCTGTCTGTGTCTTTGAGAGTTTTAATTATTTTCTAAAAGCATTTCCGTCTGTAAAATCGTTTTACTCTTGGTAATTAATCATACGGCATGGATAGCTTTCAGTGTGGTCCAGCTTGTGGTCGGTAGCACCTGAACACCTGGGGACACTCCCTCGTAACACTGGAACTTATGGGCACTCATATAGTATATAATCGAACGACTTTCAGCGACATTCGCATCGAATGAGTTTCAGTGCCGCGGTCTTACGTTTAGCACATATTTGGCTTAAAATATCATAAACGTTGAACTGAATCCGGAGGGGCTTTAACGCACGAAACGTTGCCGGATATAAAAAATGGTTATTGTAACACAAATGAGCCATTCTTTTCGGGGCATTCCCAAAATATCCAAAACGAGTTTTGTTTTCGATTTTTTTGTTGGCTTTCGTTTCTGCTGGGAGTTCTTACTGCTGCCTATCTACGATCTAATTATAAATACTATATGATTTCTATCGATTCTTTCACTCCCTTTGCGGGAACTCTCTCCTTATCATGGTTCTGGGAAAGACAGTCGACAGTCCCCAGTCGTTGATGGCTATCTTGTTGTTTGTACTTGTTCCCATTGTGTATCAAAACAGACATCGATTGTTGAAATTTAATTGAAAAGTCTCTTGAAAGAAAGTATGTTCTCATAACAGTGGAATAGTACCTCCTCCTATACCTATAAATATATTCGATTTTTATTTGTTTTCTTTTTGTATTAGTTTATGGTTTAAACGTGCCCTTTGTGGCCATATTTAATGGCTCATTTTGCATAATTCTTATAGAGATTTGTAATTTATGATTAGCCAGTAATTTGGGTTTAATTGCTACAAACCATTTGAATACTTTTTGCAAAGAAATGATTCCCGAATGCCTGAAAAACGCGTCACAAGAGAGGGGGAATTCTTCTCGCGGTAAAAACTTCCAACTGTCGTACGTACGTAACCGGTAAAAGCAAGAGACGAAAACAAAAGCAAAATAACAAAACAAAACAAAACAAAACAGAGATCTTAACAACAGCCAAGGTGCATTGCAGGTGAGGTGAGGCAGGGCAAGGGCGGTGCTCCAACGATGAAAGTTCTGCGGCAGCAAGCGGAAAATGAAGATCAATGAAGATTGAGCAATGAGATTGAAGATATTTATAGAGGAAGTTACCGTTGTTTTATGTAAATAATTATCACAGATCAATCCCAGAAACATAACCCTGTGAAATTCTCTCCATTTATGACTGCCTCTTCAGCTGCATTCCTCACCACCACCAAAATATGCACCTTGCTCCCCAACGCCTGCTAAGCCTCTCCCGTGTATAGAAATATAATGGGGAAAAGATGGAGAGTGGGAGCGTAAGAACTCGTCTATGACTGTAACGCACGCTGACGTTGACACCGCCGCTCGGACAGCCGCTGCTGCTGCCGCCTCGAAATCGCTCCGCAGCCGCACACTTTATAACGCTAGGACTTATAACCGCCAGCGTTCATTTGACAACCTTTCGCGATCGGGCTCAAACGCTCGCGATACAAAAAAAAGTCCCCGCACAAGCACGCGCGAAAAATTGGAAACGCAACGAAAAAGTTTTCAGGCGGCTAAAAGCGCCCAAAAGTTTTCGTTAAAACCTAGTTTCGTGTTTAAGGATATAAGCAAAATGTTTAAAATTATATTGCCAGCAGTTGTGTTAATTGCCTCGTAAGTGTGCAATAAAATAATGGAAAAACTACAAGAAAAAAACGCATCAAATGTCAGGCAAAAAGCAGCTCGAGAAACGCGTCAAGTTTTTAGAGATGATAAAAACTGTAATTAAATCAGATAAATATAATTGTAATATAAAGTTAAATCTTGTTTGAAATTTAAATAAAAGTCAAACAAACAAACGACAGAACGCTCACATAAACCCAGAGAAAACTAGTGACAAAAGCAAGCGACAAAAACAGCTAACAGACCAAAAGCAAGCGACAAAAACAGCTAACAGACCAAAAGCAAGCGACAAAAACAGCCAACAGACCAAAAGCAAGCGACAAAAACAGTCATGGAGTGCCTTGAGCTGCCTGCCAAAAACCCCCAAAGCTTTATCCAAAGAAAGGTCTGAAATTGTATTAAATTGGGGAAGACCTTGGCCAGATAAATCGATCGATCAGTAATTGTTGTAGCCATCACAAGATCACACGTAAAAATGCAAACAAGTTGACAAAAAATTGTCGTAATATTTGTCCAGTTTTGAATGTCATTTGATTAGCGAGAGATTTTGCGAGCGGATAAGATAATTAAATAATATATTATTGATTAACACTTTGGCGTGTCTCTCTTTTTGTTTGCAGATGTCTGGGCAGTCCAGTGAGCAATAATCGCCGCTTCCCCAATGACTTTCTCTGGGGTGTTGGCTCCTCCTCGTACCAGATCGAGGGAGGATGGAATGCGGATGATAAAGGTGAATCCATTTGGGATTTTCTTACCCACACACATCCCGAGAAGATAGAGGATGGTTCGAATGCAGATATCACGGCGGATAGCTATCATCAGGTAAGCGGACAGCAGACCCAATCCCCAGTCGCGTGGAATTAATATTTGAGTGGAAGTTATGCAAAGAGTTCAAGATCTCCACACTGAACAAGCAAACAGGCAGACAGTCGGTGCAAGTCGCTGAGGTAATCGCGTGGAAAATATATGACTACATTGTTGCAATTGATGCAATTTGATGTCGGTGGGGATTTTAGTTAAATGGATAATTACTTTTCAGCTGCGAGGAGGAAATGTAGTCCGCATCAATTCAATATCCATTAAGACAGTTTCCCTCTCAAGTAAATCTTCTTTGGTCTCTAGCCACTGGCCCCAATAACTTTTTAAAGCCAAGTTCATTTGCCAATTATGTTTAGTGGCATGACTGGAATCAATTAAAGTATAAATATTAAGCATATTAACCAGTCATATCAATGTACAGCGAATGCGAATACGATTAATCGTAGAAGTACGCGGCGTAATGGCTACAAGTGTGGACAATGTATGCTACCAATGGCATCCAAAGTAGCCTCTAATTACACACTAATTTGCATAGTGCAGGCCACAGATCTTTGAGCAGAGACTTCTATAAATCATGAATGATCATGGCAAGGCACCACCTGTTTGATAACCACTTCGAAGCATAGGGGTTGCCATCCCATCCGCCCCCCTGCGGGTGACATGATAAACTTGTCTACCATCTGTCGCTTTCAGCGCCTAGGCTTTAAAGCCCCTGATTAATGGCTTTAAGTTTACTGATACTTTATTAATTAAATAATTAATGATGTGACAAAAGGGCGGAATTTAAGGGCGTGTCGGTGACTAAACGGAACTGGGTTAGATTCCATTTGGAATCAGTTTAGTGGAATTTATTTGGATTTTTTTACTGTGCCTATTTTGCATATAAATCTGGAATAACCTGCTGCGAGCAGTTCTGTTCTTCGGTAGCATGACCTTTGGGGTGTGTTTGTTATCTATGCAAAAACAAAAGGCTACAAAGCTGACCCATTTTTGAGATAATGCATTGAGATATAGAGAGGTCTAGAGATAAGTTTATCTGCCTTTCTGTATCTTGTTTGTTTCTCTTTAAGCTTTGTGAAACATTCAGAAATCTTTTGTCTGATTTTCTTCAATGAAAACCATTTTTCCCACACATATCCATGGCAATATTTATGTTTTATTTACATTCCATTAGTTGATATCCTTCTGTAGCTCCTCCGCTTGTCACACCCTCGCCCGAGTTTTTATTTTGTTAAGAATTTGCATTGAAATATCTGCCATAATTTAGATATAATTTATCGACTAGCATGTGTTGGAGTATACTCTGAGTTATACTTGTACATTAATGGTGTCATAATTCGCCACCTAATGCCAATCCATGGCAGAAACTCGTAGACTTGGAGACTCGGAGACAGCCTCAACAACAAAACTACAGGTGTGCAGGCAGCCAGCCAGCCCCTGGCTGAATGTGCTAGCCAGTGGCGGTATCAGTGGCAGGTGCTTGTCCATCTAGTTATGCATACAAAAACAAAAACAAATGCGAGTGCGAGTTTGAGTATTGTTGTCAATCGGCTTAATAAATGAATCAAAGTATAAACAAGCAGAACGCCCCTTCCTTCCGAGCGGATCACATTACAAACTAGAAGTAGAAGTTGAAGTATTCAATGTCCAAAAGCTAGACAATAATTAGACATGTCCCAAAGCCATGTCCAAAGTCGTAGCCCCCGAGCACGCCGCTGCATTGATGGAATGTCTCTCCTCTGGCTTGCCAACTGGTTTCCAAAATTGTAACCATTTTTCGTTGCTCTTTTTTGCAGTGGCGACGCGATGTGCAAATGGTCAAAGAGCTGCATGTGGGCACGTACCGCTTCTCCTTGTCCTGGCCACGCATCATGCCTGGTGGCTACATGAATCATGTGAGCACCGCCGGCATCAAGTACTACTCCAACTTGATCGATGAACTGCTGCGCTACAACATCACGCCCATGGTGACGATATATCACTGGGAGCTGCCACAGCGGCTGCAGGAGCTGGGTGGCTGGACCAATCCAGAGATCATTCCGCTGTTCAAGGACTACGCGCGATTGGTGATGGAAATGTATGGCGATCGCGTCAAGATCTGGACCACCATCAATGAGCCGTGGCATGTGTGTGAGCATGGGTATGGTGTGGACTTCATGGCACCATCGTACAACTATCCCGGCATTCCCGCCTATCTGTGTGGCCACAATATGCTCAAGGCTCACGCTGAGGTGGTGCACATGTACCGGGATCTCTTCCAGCAGCGGCAGAAGGGACGCATTGGCATCACCCTGGACATCTCGTGGCCGGAGCCAAGGAATCTTGATTCGGCCGAGGATCGTGAGGCCTCAGAGCGTGCCCTGCAGTTCTATGTCGGTTGGTTTGGTCATCCCATCTTCTCGAAGCATGGCAACTATCCCAAAGTAATGATCGAACGCATACGCAACCTCAGCAAGGAGCAGGGCTTCGGTGTGCGCTCGCGTCTGCCAGAGTTCACCCAGGAGGAGATTCGTCGCATACGCGGCACAGCCGACTTCTTTGGCATTAATTCCTACACGAGCAATCTGGTGACATCCAATGGCCATAATAACACAGGAAAGTTCCCAGTGCCTTCGTTCAATCATGACATGGGCGTGGTGGAGAGCCAGGAGGGTGTCGATTGGCCCGGTTCCGGTTCTGTTTGGTTAAAGGTAAGTTTTAATTGAAGAACTTTTGGGTATTACTTAAGGTAGAAGTAAATTTGGGGGTTTATTTTAGGGATTTATCTGAAGATTTTCTACTCAAATTGCAACTTTCCTTAGAATTTAACACTCTGAGAATTCAGCAGATAATTCTCTCCAAATTTCTAGAACCCTCCGATCCATGCAATAGTAATCAGTATCCAGACGGTCGTTAGTCGTTCTGTAAACTTGGAAAACCAAATTTTAGTGGATTAGTGGTGCAAATTGATTGTGTTCTCTGGAGATGAGAGCGAGCCCCTTGTGGCGTCTGTAATTAACTGGGGGAAGAAGTGAGGCTTGTGCCACGAGGGTGACTTCTCCCACTTGCAGTTTGAATTATGCTCTAAGTAAAGCATCAAAATGGGGGTTGCCACTGGCACAGGTGGAAAAGGTTGAACGAACTCTAATAACTTGTGGCTGCCACTTTTAATCTATCTTTCTAGTCGTATCCCAAGGGCATGTACAACCTGCTCAAGTGGATTCATCGCGAGTACAATGCACCCGAGATTATTGTCACAGAGAATGGCGTGAGCGATCGCGGTGGCCTGGACGATTATGCCCGTGTCGACTACTACAATTCGTATCTAGATGCCATACTTAATGCCATCGAGGATGGTGTGAACATCAGTGGCTACATTGCCTGGAGCCTGATGGACAGCTACGAGTGGAAGGCTGGCTTCACCGAGAAATTTGGACTCTATCATGTGGACTTTACATCGCCGGAGCGCACGCGTACGCCCAAGATCTCGGCGCGAGTTTTTGCACAGATCTGCAAGACGAATGAGATTGACTGGAGCTTTAGGCCGACGCTCGATGATCAGCAATTGGTGGCTTTGGCGCAGTTACCCGCCGAAGCAATGGTGCCCCGCTCCAGTGGAGCCCCTAGTCTTGCAGGCTGGAGTCTGCTTTCCGTTGTTCTGCTGACTTTTATCAGATGAGAGAGTGGAAGAGAGAGATGTGTAGAGTATAGAAGGAGGCTTGCCATGTATTGTTTTGCTACTCGTAGCCCCTAAGTTTTGTCTAAAAATCTAATCTAATCTACTTTATGTATAGAAACTCTAATTTGTACTTAAACTTAAAGACTCGAAACCAGAATAAAACATTTTGTGATATTATAAAGAGAACCTTGTGGAGGGTTTTCCATTCACTTCTAAAGTCATTCAAATGTTAAGCAGCTCAACAGATCTCTATAGATCGTTGTGACATTTATGTACATGTTAGTGGGTAGTAGAGCCCCCGAACCGAAGCAATTCCTTGAGCTGTCTGTGATGTTGATATTTCCGCAAGTAAATCCACACAATGGAACCAATGATCCGAGAACCAATGATCTGTTTTTTTAAAGCACAATGAGCCCTGATGCTTGAGAGATCTTTTTCTCCCTCTCTGTTTATTATATCACCATTATGGGATGCGATAAGGTTGGGCTTCATTTAGAGGCAGCAGCAGGCAGCTGTTGGTGGATAATTGTAGGGGTCTAGTCTAGTGGTTCCAGCATGAATCTGAATATTAAAATCCCTAGTAATCACCCTGATTATCTCATTTGCTTATGCATATAACATGATCACAGAATAGCAATATTATTTCTCCTCACTCTCACAATATCCGCTTGTCGAACCTCTAAACAGAAACGGAATTGAAAGTTGGCTTGGCTTCACTTATGTCTAGAATATATACAAGTAGATAGATATATATATATATCGTGTTCAGAACCAGTTACCTTTCATTTTGGGTAATGCTTTTTCCTTAATTATACTTATTTTTTATGCATTTACTTGGATTTATTGTTTCGGTTCAGCATCAGTCGCAGTCGGAGCTATGCCTTCCAGTCGTCACACGAAATGTCTTGAATTAATTAAACATTTGTGTAGTAGTGCTTTTGTAGGAAACATTTCATGACCATGTCGGTTCAGGGGGGAGGAGGAACACACGGCACACACTCCTCCTCGACACACTCCAGTCTCTATTCAGAGTCGCCACTACACCTGTTTGAGTCACGAGCCCCAGTGCAAGGGCATTCATAATTTATTAGGCATCGTCTGGAGAGAGCTGCAAACTGAAGTCTAAGGCTCCTAGGGCTCGTAGCTCTAATAATTTAAAGTTCTTTAAACTTTGGAGAACCCCTACAAAGTCATAAACCACTTGAGAAACCAAAGAGCGTCATACAATTTGATTAACTATGATTGATGATTGCCTAATGAGTGAACAAGTGAGTGAGTCTATCAAATCTATGAGAATATTAATTAATGATCCAAAAACGTATCCGTTTAAGCATTGGAAACCCCTCTTTATGGCTGCCACTGTCACAGTTTACTGTTTTTAGTGCAATTCTCTTAACAACAAAATAACTCTACAAATAATGGTCCAACTTTGCGAAAACAACAAACAAACAAACATGCGGGGGTAATGCCTTGTGGAGTTAAAAGTTCTGATGTTTTTTTTCTGGATTTTCTGTTGATTCGCTGATGAAATTTCTACAGGGCATTGCATCAGCCAATGTTTTGAGTTGAGTTTTCCCCTGGCACGAACTTTGCGATATTGCAATGTGGGAAGTTATGAATGTGTGCTGTGTTTTTTCTTTGAAAAAAGGTCAGAGAGTGATTCAAAATCTAGAATAACATTTAGCTAAATCGAGTTTTTACTTAATTTCCATTCTTTTGGGATCTCCAAAAAAAACTAGGAAAACCACCAAATGGTTTTGGCAATGCTGGTAAAGGAGGAGGTAACGCGGGTAACGCCGGTAACGAAACTGCGGGAAGTGATACTTCTGGTAATTCAACTTCTGGTAAGGCAACCTCTGGCAACCTAATATCGGTTAAATTGAACTCTGGAAATTTAGGCACTGGAAATGGCAGAGGAAGCGGGTTAGGAAGAGGTAGCCCGAATGGTGGAAAAGGAAGCGCCGGCAGAGGAGGAAGTTGTGGAAGCGGAGGGAGCCCAAAACCAGGATCAACCAAATTATGATAATGAATGTGATGGTACGCATGAATACCCTGTTGCCCCCCAGCATTAGAAGAATTTGATGGTGGCGTGGTTGTTGTCGTGTCAGGAGATGTCGTTTCAGGAGTTGTTTTCGTGGTTGTTGTTGCTGGCTTAGGAGTTGTCTTTGCCGTTGTGGTCTTTACTGTGGTTGTCTTAGGAGTTGTTGGCTCTTTAGTTGTCTTTGCCGTTGTGGTCTTTACTGTAGTTATCTTGGGAGTTGATGGCTCTTTAGTTGTCTTCGCCGTTGTGGTTTTTACTGTAGTTGTCTTGGGAGTTGTTGGCTCTTTAGTTGTCTTTGCCGTAGTGGTCTTTACTGTAGTTGTCTTGGGAGTTGTTGGCTCTTTAGTTGTCTTTGCCGTAGTGGTCTTTACTGTAGTTGTCTTGGCAGTTGTTGGCTCTTTAGTTGTCTTTGCCGTAGTGGTCTTTACTGTAGTTGTCTTGGGAGTTGTTGGCTCTTTAGTTGTCTTTGCCGTAGTGGTCTTTACTGTAGTTGTCTTGGGAGTTGTTGGCTCTTTAGTTGTCTTTGCCGTAGTGGTCTTTACTGTAGTTGTCTTGGGAGTTGTTGGCTCTTTAGTTGTCTTTGCCGTAGTGGTCTTTACTGTAGTTGTCTTGGGAGTTGTTGGCTCTTTAGTTGTCTTTGCCGTAGTGGTCTTTACTGTAGTTGTCTTGGGAGTTGTTGGCTCTTTAGTTGTCTTTGCCGTTGTGGTCTTTACTGTAGTTGTCTTGGGAGTTGTCGGCTCTTTAGTTGTCTTTGCCGTAGTGGTCTTTACTGTAGTTGTCTTGGGAGTTGTTGGCTCTTTAGTTGTCTTTGCCGTTGTGGTCTTTACTGTAGTTGTCTTGGGAGTTGTCGGCTCTTTAGTTGTCTTTGCGGTTGTGGTCTTTACTGTAGTTGTCTTAGGAGTTGTTGGCTCTTTAGTTGTCTTTGCGGTTGTGGTCTTTACTGTAGTTGTCTTGGGAGTTGTTGGCTCTTTAGTTGTCTTTGCCGTAGTGGTCTTTACTGTAGTTGTCTTGGGAGTTGTTGGCTCTTTAGTTGTCTTTGCCGTAGTGGTCTTTACTGTAGTTGTCTTGGGAGTTGTTGGCTCTTTAGTTGTCTTTGCCGTTGTGGTCTTTACTGTAGTTGTCTTGGGAGTTGTTGGCTCTTTAGTTGTCTTTGCCGTTGTGGTCTTTACTGTAGTTGTCTTGGGAGTTGTTGGCTCTTTAGTTGTCTTTGCCGTTGTGGTCTTTACTGTAGTTGTCTTGGGAGTTGTTGGCTCTTTAGTTGTCTTTGCCGTTGTGGTCTTTACTGTAGTTGTCTTGGGAGTTGTTGGCTCTTTAGTTGTCTTTGCCGTTGTGGTCTTTACTGTAGTTGTCTTGGGAGTTGTCGGCTCTTTAGTTGTCTTTGCGGTTGTGGTCTTTACTGTAGATGTCTTAGGCGTAGTTGGCTCTTTAGTTGTCTTTGCCGTAGTGGTCTTTACTGTAGTTGTCTTGGGAGTTGTTGGCTCTTTAGTTGTCTTTGCCGTTGTGGTCTTTACTGTAGTTGTCTTGGGAGTTGTTGGCTCTTTAGTTGTCTTTGTCGTTGTGGTCTTTACTGTAGTTGTCTTGGGAGTTGTTGGCTCTTTAGTTGTCTTTGCCGTTGTGGTCTTTACTGTAGTTGTCTTGGGAGTTGTTGGCTCTTTAGTTGTCTTTGCCGTTGTGGTTTTTACTGTAGTCGTCTTAGGCGTTGTCGGCTCAGTAGTTGTCTTTGGGGTGATTGTCTTCCCAGTTGTCGTTGTCGGCTCAGTAGTTGTCTTTTGGGTAGTTGTCTTCGGGGTAGTTGTCTTTGGGGTAGTTGTCTTCGCAGTTGGCGTTGTGGGCTCAGTGGTTGTCTTTGCAGTTGTCGTTGTGGGCTTGTGGGTTGTCTTTGGGGTAGTAGTCTTTGCAGTTGTAGTTGTCGGCTCAGTAGTTGTCTTTAGGGTAGTTGTCTTCGCAGTTGTTGTTGTGGGCTCAGTAGTTGTCTTTGGGGTAGTTGTCTTCGCAGTTGTCGGTGTCGGCTCAGTAGTTGTCTTTGGGGTAATAGTCTTTGCAGTTGTAGTTGTCGGCTCAGTAGTTGTCTTTGGGGTAGTTGTCTTTGCAGTTGTCGTTGTCGGCTCAGTAGTTGTCTTTTCGGTTGTCGCCTTAAGCGTTGTAGATGTTTGAATGGTCGAGCTTGTGGTTTTCGTTACTGTTGTCGTCGGTTCGGGGGTTGGTGGAGCTAGAGGGCATCCCGGCAGAAAGGGATCTAGGTTACAATAAAATGGATATCGTACAGCAGCCGAGTCCGTCGCCTCATCGATCTGCCTGGCACTGATTGAAACATCGTTGCCCTCATTGTTGGATGCCTGCCTTCCCCATGCCACTTGCCACATGTCATGAGAGTCCTGCCTGGCGCCACTTCCTTGCCGGGCTGCATGCGCAGCATGGTGAAGGGCAAGGAAAAGGAAACTTTTCAGGATATGCTATAATTGGGAGAGAAACGATGACGTTATGTTACTGTGCGAGGGACTCCCCAACTTACCATAAAGACGGTTTCAAAGAAACTGTTGATTTTTTAGATTCAAACCGTGTTTTTATATAGGAAGTACCATCAGAGTTGCTATGTCATTTCTCTGATAAGCTATGTCTATGGTTGAAGTTCAAAGTTCAACAAAGGTGGAAGGAAGCATGCCATACATGACATTACGATAAGTTTCTAAGAAACTATTCCAATTTCCAATGTTCTTTCGGTTTGGTATAATGGAATGCGTAAGGAATGTATTTAAGTAAGTGAAGAAAGCTAGACTTTCATAGTTGATAATTTTCTTATCAATGGGGCACCCAAACGTGTTTTAAGCTATGATATTTACGGAGTTACCAAGGCAATCGGTGACTGGAATACAAAGAGACACAGTCTAGACAGAAGTCGGTAAATTTGGGAGACACGCTGATATTGATAAGTTTTAATATAAATAATTGATCTTGTGCATGATGATCAACTTCTTACAGTTGAATTTCAATTAAAATATTATGTGTGTCTCTCACATTATTTTAGGTAACTTCTTTCGGAATAGAGAGTCTCGCCCCAAAATTATGCTATGATTTCCACATTCATGGCTAACATTTTGTAGGTGGCGCCTGCAATGTAATGTAAATATCTAGATCTGATCGCATCTCTTTAGCGCGAAGTTCAAATGTCTACCAAATTTTGATCGCTGCCTTCCAAATTCTCTTTTCCTGATGTTCAGTAAAATATTTTTAATCGATTGGGAAGCATGGAACTGATTGGAGCCATAAATGATTCATAAATCCACCATACAAATTTCCCCTTATAAAATGCCTTGTCACGTTTTAGTTTCGTGGTAAACACGTGCTGGATTATATCTTCTGGCAGTTTTCTTTCGATTTCAAACACACCCGTCATCAATGCGCTGAGGATTAACCCGCTGTGCCATTTATCAAACAATTCATAGAGCTCATTGCACTTATTGAAAATTAATACGGCTTTAAATCCCACAACAGTGCAAAAATCTGCACACATGCTCCCAGCTCTCTGGTGTTCTCTCTCCCATATATCCACCCCTCTTCCCCTGTTCTATCACTAACGATAATCCCGCGAACAAGGCATTTAGAGCAGACAGAGGGGGGTACGTACATTTATCAACTCAACAAACATCTGTCTGTGGATGAAAAAAAAAAGGATTAACTAACAATATGCGATTGATAAACTTTATCAGAAATCAGCCAAAGATTTATGGCAGTGTAAAGTAGGTGCCTTCCATCCAAAGTACCCATTCTCGCCCATCAACATTACAAATCTGATATTTCCCATCATCACATTTCAAATATTTTCCTTTAATTGAGAAAAATTATATTTCAATAGCAACAAATCAACCAACTGGCAATCAAATGAATAATGTGTACACAGATTTCTGTGGCCCTGCGGTTAATTCGATTAAGATTTGTACAAACGAAAACAAAATTTGAGAGAATGCGGGTATGGGGGGATACCGCTGGCATGGCTAGAGAAGCCATGTAAATGAAATATATCCTGAACACTCGAATGAAAGTGGTCTGTCGATGCTCTCGAATGAAGGCTCCTCTCATGGGACATGTTTCCCATCATCGGGAATCGCCTTCTTCCCTGATTGGTTCAATTATATATAGCAAAATGCAATTAGAAGCAGCCAACAATTGAGTTAACCCTTTCTGAAATCAATATTAAATTACATCATATTCCAATAGAAATTTCATAAAATGCTGCCGCACTGATTGAAACATCGTTGCCCTCATCGTTTGATGCCTGCCTTCCCCATGCCACTTGCCACATGTCATGAGAGTCCATTCGCCCCCCATTGCCTCAAGTGTAGATTAAGTTTGGCGATAAAGTGTCATTGAATCCATTGAATATTTTGTGCTTTTTGTGCTGGGGTCGATAGTACTATAGAATGAACTATAGAATTCCCCCTCATTCGCGTAGATGGTGACGTTTAGTAATTGGCTACGAGTACAAAAGCTTAAGTAGCACCCTCATTGCATTAGAAATGCAACTGTTCGGCATGGAAATGGTTTATAGAGCCCCCTTATTGCCTGAGATAAACTTTTCACATAAATCTTTCACTTGAATCATGGGAAAATGCGTATCAGAAATGATCCTTAAAGTCTTTGAAACCCTTATAATTACAGTGCTGCAAGAAAGCAGAAAGAAAAGAATGAAACACCCTATCGTGAGTAGTGGTCCAAGCCATAAATTAGCCAGAAAATATCGTTAGGTAATGAAAGGTGTGAAAGGTAAATGAAAGGGAGGGTACGTGTCAAGATCGGCAGCTGAAAAAACCTTTTCTTCGAATCAAAATACGAATCCTAAAAGTCAGTCAGGGTTCAATGTCCTCCGCGTTGCATGGCTTTCGCTGTCGTCTCCCTCTCTGTTTAAGCTATAATGACAAACCAATTACCAGTAAAAGACCTGGACTTGGACATGGACTTTCATGGTCTTTTGGGGCACGTAGTCCAGGCATTGGCAGGCGTTGTGTAGCCTGTCTCATGATTGCGCAACAAATTGGACAAACGACGCATGTCACCCCTTTTAAGGATGGAAAACACAGTTAGAGGCATCACACAGGCCATATTTGAGACAGTGACAAATGTTCGAAACTCAAATGCAACGAGAGGACGAGATATTGTGCGTGAGGCTCGAATGTTTATGTGTTTCTAGATTATGTGAACTTTGCAGTTGAGGGAAACTATTAAGATAAGTCCACGCAGGAACGTTTTGAAGGTTTCTTTCTGCTCAAATCACAATCATAATTCCCGCATAAACTTTCCATTTGCAGTGGCGTGCGCTACTGTACCCCTGGGTTTGGTTTTCAATCCACCACCAAATGCAGGAGGCTGAAGCTGCTGCTGCTGCTGCTGTAGCTGCTACTCCCGAATGGGATGACAACCCTGGACCTGGACCCTCGCCTGGACCAAGCGACAACTGTGGCGCCTGCGCAGCTGCCGCTGCTCGCGCACTCCTCCCTCTACGAATCTAGGGAGCACGCACTCCATCTGTCTGTCTCCTTCTCTACGGGTATTATGTGTCGCCTCTTTGTCTGTAATTTCACGCAATGAAGAGCGAGCGGGACGGGACGTCCAGTGTGTGTGCGTGTGTGTGTGTGCATATATGTAACTGCTTATTGATCGATCGCCTCGATATCGAATTTTTATTGTTGTTTGTCATTCCAGAATGCGCCACCATCAAGCAGAGAAGCAGCAGAAACAGCAACAAAAGGGGCGAAGGCGAAGGATGGGTTTTGGTTTGGAATGGGCCATTGTTCCAAGGGGTTTTTCTGGCTCTACATCATTCCGGGGGTTGCTTCTCCTTTAGTGCAATTGCAGTTTTGATGTTACTCATTGTGGAGGGTAGCTTTTTGGATCAACCCTTAGCTACTACCATTTCGATTATCATCGCCTGGGAATGCTGCTGTTTACTCCAGTGCCTGGATTCGGGTTTCGTTTTTGTGGATTGCACATCATCTCACCGTTACAGAAATGTTCCCTTATTTGTATTATTTTTTGTATATTTTGATTCCAAACGGGAATTGCACATCAAGTTCATTGATTTTTTGCATGTTTTTCCACACTTAACTGCTATTGTAGCTTAGCCAAGGATTTGTTTTGAAGATTTATTGGACTTAGGAGCGGGAGTTGCTCTAGGGGAGCACTCACAAATGGGAAAATCTAACCAAGAGGAGATTTTAGTGGGACTCTAGCTCTAATTATACATTCTGGAACGATTTTACCCTTAGAAACTTTCAGTTTTCAGTCAGTCAGAAGCAAAAACCAATTTGATGATCATGTAACCCATTTAGATAACCGATCGCCTCATTTGTAACCGAATGCCCATGCGGTGATTATCACCCACTGACGATCTCACGCACACCCTCTGACCACCACACACCGCCAGAGCAAACCGAAAGAGGGCCAGAGAGAGAGAGAGAGAGTCCGTCCTACATGCAATGGCTAATTGTTTTCTCCTTTTGCTGGCAGTTGCTGCATTTATGAGGCAAAAGAAACGCCCACTGGGACATCTAGTGTTAATTTATGGCACACCTAGAGGTACACACACCTCGTGCTAGTGGCTTATAGGATCACATACATACATATATATCCCAATGATGTATCGTTAGAACAGGCAACATATCACACGAGGCAGCTGCCAGAGCGCAGCCCAAGTCAAGCTTTTGTCTGCAGCGGGGCTTACATAAAACAGTGAAACACAGAGAGACGGACTGGACTGGCTGAAGCGGGTCTATTGTAGTCACATTATTAGATTCGCATCGCTGGCCATATTAATTGTTGTTGCCCATGTTCGTAGTCCAAGACAGACAGGCAACAGAAAACAGAGAAGAGAATGAATGGTTCATTGAGCACCAGGCAGCCAGGGGGCCACAGAATGCAACTGTCATTACCAGGAGCGGATGCAGTACCTCTGTACCTCAATTTCTTTCACTTAGATCCGGCCCTGCATCACCGTTTGCGTTTGACATTCAAATTTGGTCAAAATGACATGGGGTTCTGGGCTAACGCTTACGCCTAGGCCTGTGCCCCAGAGTTTATAGCCGGAAATTCTAATTGTTGTTGTGGTTGCACATTACAAAAACATACCTACAAAAGATAGAAAAAAAGAGGTTTTAAAGCGGGGTGGGGGAGCACTATATTCTCAGGACTTACCTGTACTCCAATTTCCAACTGCAACTGAGAGCAGACTCTCATTCAAACGCGCTCTCTCTCTCTGGGGACTGGAAATGCAAACAAACAGTACTCCATTCCAGGATCGACAACCTGCAGCAGGCGGGCAGGCAGACAGGCCTGGGTGGCAGGGTGGATATCGATTTTTAGTGGCAATTGCAGTTGCCACGGGCAGCCGCTGGTCCCCATTCCCTGCTCCCTGCCATTGGGGTAGTCTCTCTAGTCTCAAGTTCGTCTGCCAATTATTTGCCGCTTATTAGGAGGAGTTCTCGGAAAGAGGCCGAGCGGCAGCAGCTGGTGGTGGTGTTGGCAGCACGTGACTACAGCGTTGCGTTGTCCATTGTTTGCATTTTGCATATAGTACGCCACAGTACTCTCAGCTTAGGGTGGTTCCCCCACTGGACTGTGTGTGGCATGACTTTGACGGGCAGCAAGATACACACACAGCAACTCAAGTGCTGCTTTAATGTTTGGGCCATTTACATGAAGTGGAAGGAAGCCACCCCCGAGAGTAAATCAGAGCCAAAGCCGCACACAACGGGCGGCAGCAGGCGTTGACCAGAGACCAGGGCCCGCGCTTAAGCTCTTTTGTGGGCCCCGTGGGGTGGTGCCGGTGGTGCTGCTACTGCAAACCCGTTCTTAATCCTTTCAAACGTAAAATGCAAAGCCAACTGCGGTCGTCGGCGAATTTTCCAGTGAGAAACAAGGGGTGGCCAGCCGGTCAGGGCCAGATTTGTTATTCCACAAAGCCGTATCGTTGCAAATTTTCGAATAAACTTCTCAAAATTGCACACAAATTTCACAACAAAAAAAATGGCAAAACTGAAGTGGTATCATGCCATCCCGCTTTGGCATGTGCAACATGCGTTGCCTGCCTTTGGTTATGTTTTCGTCTTCTCTTTGGTTTCCTTCTTTTCTCCCGCCGTTTTCCTGCAATAAAATTGTTGATACTATTTAATGTTACAATCAAGCACAGTGGAGGCGGGAAAGCATTAAATTTAGCAAATCAATTATGGGGGACAAGTGGCGACCACAACTTACACACATATATACACCGCACACTAACATTTAGCACTTGCAAAAAAATTGTGTACCTCGACAAAAAAACACACGCGCACATTGCAATTTAACAATAAACTATACTTGCCAATAGGCCACACAACTAATTGAATGTATTTGATTCGTTTTTAATCACTTGTTAAAGAAACTATTCAAAATTACAAGCACCGCAAAATTATGCACATCAAATCTGACCACACGCAAAGAAGAGAAAGGATGACAAGAGAACACAAGAGTGCACTAGTGCTATCCCGCTCTGGCATCAGTCCTCAACTGTTTTTCTTGTTTCCTTTTTCTTCGTCTTCTTTTTCTGCGCTGCGCGATTGACTTTCGCGCCTTCCGGAAATAAATGAATTAAAATCCAATTAAACATACCAATAAAATAACCAATTGTTAAAACCTATTCATTTCAGCTGCTAGTCGTTCGATTAAAGAAAGTTAATCGCTTAATTCAACGCGTTACCAACAGTTTTGTGCCAAAGAAAAAAAACGCTCGAGAACTTTCTGGAAAAAGGCCGAAATGAAACTCGCAGTTCGGTTATTGCTGATTAAACTCACTTAGTACTTAGATTTTTACTTGCGTATGCTCCAGTTGCAGCTAAAGTGGTAGTCGACTAATAACAATATTTTCACTCAATTCGGTCGGTTAAAATACGCGCAAAAGTGAAAAAGCGGTAAATTAGTGCATTGTGCGTGTGTGTGCTAGTTGAAGGAGAAGTATACGCGTGTATATTGTGATTTCGCAATGTTGTTAATGCAATGGTTTTATTTATTTTTTGTTGTGTTATTTATCTTCATTAACTGCCCACATCGCTACGTGTATAAGTTTTGTTTATGCCATCGGGTTCGGAGCAAGTGCGTGGGCAGCAACAACTGCCTGGCCCCTTGTAAGTGTGCAATATGACAAAACGGTCTAAAAATGCTCCAGTGTAAATTGGTAAGTTAATAACAATCTCGTTAATGATTTATCCAGTGCAATAGGCACAAAGTGCCTCTCCCCCTTCTCCCCATTCCAATTGACTAAGGCAACGAGAGCATCATCAGTAGCAAGGTGTTGCGAATGTAAGGTGAGGCAGCCGTCTGTCAAAAGTCCACTTTCGATTGGTGATCCACCTTCTTATTTAATACACCATCAGTTGCTGCGAGTGAAGTGTGTGTGTGTTTGTGTGTATGTGGGGGGTGAAAGGGAAACGAAACCCCATGGCAGAGGGCTTCTCCGTCTTTCTTCACGCTTGCATGGACACGAAAAGCGAATGCGATGTCAGAAATCAATGCAGTTATCCTCTGTAGCAGCAGCAGCGGCGGCAACAACAACAAAAGCCACCATTTGGCGCTTTGTTCTTCCGCTGTTTTGTTTGGCATTGTGGCAGTTGTCGTATGTGTGTATGGCTGTATGCGTGTGTTTACTTGTCTATGCTGTTGTCCCTGTCGATCCCATACTTATGGAAGGGGGCCTGGGCAATTTTCGGGAGCGCTTGCAAGCTCCCACGGGGATGCAGTGTCAACGGCAAGAACAGCAAAGCGAAACGAGGATGTAAAAAAACAAAGAAGAGACACACAAATGGCAGTGAAATCAAATTTACAGCCTTGTCAATGCATTGCCATTGCCTCTCCCCCTCCCAAGGGACACGCCCATTACAGAATGTTATTGCAATCTAAATGGTTTTACCATATTTCCGTTATTTGTTTGCCGATTTTCGCAGTCATGTTGCCTGGCAACCCTGTCCGAACACTGTGCAACCTGCAATCAGTTTTAATTAAGTTACAAGTACCGCCCGAAGGAGTAGGAGAGAAGCAAAAAAACATTCCATTCGTTTTCGTACGAGTACGAGGTACGAGTATTCCTGGTAAGCTACAAATGAACTCTTCCGAGAATCAAATTTCATGCCCCTCCACTGTCTGCTCAACAATAAAAAAGTGCACTCTCTCCCCAGAGGGGGTCGGACGGGTCTTGGGATGAGAAGATCGGGTTAGGCACGGCAGCTGAGTGGAGTGGAGTGGGGGGCGATGACGAGTGTAAAACACTCTAAAAACCAGACCTGAATCCATTGTACGTACAATTCTATCTCGTATTTTTTTTTTGCTTTCTGTTGCTTTTTATTTGTTGCTTGTATTTTTATTGTTTTCACTGTTGTTGCTTCTAGTTTTTTCTGCTGCTTCTACTGCTGCTGCTGGGGCTCTCTATCATTGCATTTCATTTAAGCTGTTGGCTGATACCCTGCTCGAAAAGGGGCATGATATTCAAAGTCAACCGCCAATGGATGGGAATAAACAAAATAAAAATCAAGGGTATACACGTATTCTCTTCTTAAAGCTGTTTTCCTGGAGTGTTTCTACTTTCATTGCAACGGAAAGAAGCAGCAGCAGCCACGGCTGCAGAACAATGATAATAATAAAAGTTGTCGGCCGTCGTTGGTCTTGCAACGGATGCACTCAAGCGGCGCAAACTGTTGCTCACTGTTCAGGTTGGGGGCCAAACCATCGTCATCGTCATCGTAGTTGGAATGGAATAGCAGTTATTGCTGTTGCATCTTTCTATCTGGCTGCCCCATATCTCTCTCGCTCTCTCTCTCTCTATTTTCATTTCTTTCTTCCTCAGTTAATTGTAAAAACTGCACGCGGCACTGTTCTCGTATGTTATTTGTGGCTGCAACAGCGTTCAACATCTCTCCCATCGTTCGCCGGTGGCAGATAGGAAACTAGAATACGAGCTTAATGAAGTTTTATGCTTTTCAAATGTTCAGCCAATTTGTTTCGATCTTCTTTGCTTGTTTTTCTTTCTCTTTCTCTTTCTTCTCTTTCGATTCGATGATATTTCAATTGTAGATAGATTTATTTATTCTGTTTCTGGAGTTTCTTGAAGATTGTCTTGTGGGGGGAACGGCCGATTGAAGTGGAGAGATAATGAAAAGATAGCACGAGAATTGTGGTTTCAGTAATTGTTTAAGCGTTTTAAGTGTGGTATATCATAGTTGATTGTTTTTATTTTGATATCTAAAGATTACCTTTATAAAGTATTAATTAGGAGTTTTAGAACTTGAGAGGAACTGTTCGTGATCTGCTATTATAGTTCCCAGGAACAATTTTCTTTGTCTATTTCGATGTAACTTTACTCTGGATCTCTATGATCTCTTAATAATGAGTTCGTTAAGGGGTTCAAACTCATCCCTGCCCTGCCCTGTCGTGTCGTGTTTGGATCACTTACACACGCACTCTCTCCATCCATTCCTTAACCATTTCCATAGAGCTAATCAAATTATGTCTGCGATCCAATTGCTGAATCGCCAGATGATGTCAAGTGCATGTTGCACTCAATTGTTGTGCCCCCTCCGTAGATTTCCATGTCATTTTGCATTACGAAACTATTTTTATACACCGCTCGCGTGTCGCTAGTTGGCCCGTCTGTTCCTTTTAGTGGGGGGACAGCCCCTCCGGCCCTTTTAATAGAGCCAGCAGCAGTTTTCCCCCGAAGGCAGTGGCAGAAGTCACTGCCAGAGACTCGCGTGTCTTCCAGCGTTTGTCAACTCAATCGCCGCTTTGGCTGTGCTTTGAGTCTCTGCTCTTCCTCAGTCTCTTCCTCACACTCTCTTCTTTCTCTCCCTCTCCCTCTCTCTTTCGTACTCTTTCTGGAACATAACTTTATTTAATTACTCGCACAGCAACAACAAAATGCGGCGACAACAAGAAATTCTCGGTGTCATAAAAAATTATTTTATGCGTTCAATGGGACAGTGGCTAGAAAGGGGAAAGGGGGTAGAACAAGACAATGGCAGGGAGTGGAGAGAGGCAGGAACTGGTGAGGGGGTTACTCCAACGTTCAACTTGTTTGTTAATTTTGTCTTAGTTGTTTTTTCGCTCTGCCAACACAAACATTTCTTCAACATTATAAGTTTGTTCGCTTTGAATTACACACATTGCACAACAGCAGCAGCAAAAAATGAAAAATAAACAGCAAGAAAAAAGTTCATTGACTTTCATGCAACAAGCAGCAACAACAAGCATCGCATACCACTTGCAGATTGATTGTGTGTCAGGTATTACAGTATGTTATGGGAGTACGTCCACTCGTAGTAAAATAATTCGGTGAACCATTTTGACACCAATTCTGTTGCCATGACGGAAATGAAGTCAGGGCTTTGCGTTAAAATATTATAGAAAATTAAATTATAAATTATTTTCACTTATTTGTATTCTTAACTCGTAAAATGTGAAATTTGCATCCACTAAAACTCCTGATTGTTGCCACTTCGCACATCCGCACAAGTCATGAACTTGTTTGTTGCCTCATTGCTGGCACTTTGCACTTATTAAATTTTAGCACAAAGGCAGACAAAAAAGCAGTAGAAAAGCCAATGCAGCAGCAGCTACGAATATAATCATCATTATCATCTGCAGCTCTATCTGATGATCGGCGCAGCAGCAGCAGCAGCTGCATTTGCCTGTGTTCGGGCAGCTTCAGCTTCTTCCTCTGCTACTGATTTCTGCCACATGCAACATTGGGTTCAGTCCACTCGATCAACTCAATTGCCGATGCACTCGAGGGCAAGCCGAGTAAGAGAAGCAGTTGAGGCAGGCAGTGAGCGGGAGAGATCCATCCAAACGGCAGTTAGAGATGCGCCACAGATATCGCGATGTTTTGGGTTTGTGTTTAGGCAAATGTGCCATAGCTGTAGCGCTCAAGATATGAGACAAATTGTAGGAAACTACCATCCAAAGACACTTTAGTTCCCTTTGTTACTCAACTGTTCCTTAATGTTGTCTTATTTCTATTGTTTCCAGTACTCTTCAAGGAAATATTTGAAGAAAGGTTCAGCAACAGCTGCATAAATGTATTTTAATACAGAAAAAGGTAATTCCCCCTGCAAAGTTTAAACTCTGTTTACAATTTTCTTCGATAAAACTTTCAGTAAACTTTTCAGTCTTAAAAATATTTTCTTTCTGAAGCTATCATTAAATTTCAAGGGCTTTCCCTGTAAGCTGCCTCGATAAAAGTTCTTTCTTTAGTTATCTGTGAAATTCCATGGATTCTCCCATAAACTGTGAGAATTGCT